GTTCGCTGGCACCCTGTTCCCTGGCACCCTGTTCCCTGGCACCCTGTTCGCTGGCACCCTGGTCTTATTTCCCTTCTCTACTCTTTTCCACTTCCTCTTCCTCACCCCTCTCCACCCACACTCCACCCACCCCTCCCCACCTCCACCCACCCTCTACCACCCTCATCATCTCCCCAGCGCGTCACAGGTTCAATAAAAGTCCTTGTTGGCTTCATTTATAATAGGTATCGTCCATGAGGAACTGAGATATTTTGTGTTTTCATTATATAGAATTTCAAATCAAAGTCTGCTCCCGTTTGATTTTCTTTCATCAACGGTCCTCTCTCTCTCTCTCTCTCTCTCTCTCTCTCTCTCTCTAGTTCCTTAAAGACCAGATCCTTAAAAAAACAACCAAAATATTCACCGGATCACCTACATGATAAACGCCGTCCTGTAAGGTGTATGTAAATATGTCACAGGAGTGGGAATTTCACTCTTACGGAGGGGTGTTGCTTGGCACTGTGTTGTCCCTAAGGTTTGTCTTGGTTTTTCCCTCACCTTGTGGTAAGTCTCTCCCTCCCTCTCTCCCTCCCTCTGGTATTCGTCCTGGGAAAAAGAATGTTGGTGTTTCTCCTGGGATAAGGATGTGTTGTTGTTCGTCCTGGGATAAGGATGTGTTGTTCGTCCTGGGATAAAGAATGTTGGTGCTTCTCCTGGGATAAGAATGTGTTGTTGTTCGTCCTGGGATAAGGAGTGTTGATCCCCCGGGAGGCACCTGCGCACAATGGATGACTGGGGAGCTCACGCACACTCGACACGTCACTGGTTTGTTAGCTAACCACAAGCTGTGTATACTACCCGCCCTCCTCAAGTGTCCACTCACCGCTGCACTGCCCTCAACTCTTGTTTATTTTCATTTATTTTTAGTGTGGGTAGACTATTTAAGTGTTGTGATGGACGTAAATATTAAACTGTTTTTGGCTCGCAGTCCGCAGTGAAAATTTTTAGTTGAAGGGAAATTGGTTATCGTATTCCATCGTTTAAAATTAAATTGGTATTGTTATTAATTATCGTAGGCTGAGTTTAGTGAAGTATTAGGTGAAGGTAAAATTATTTATTGGTGGTGGTAGTAGAATAAGTTTATATTGTTTTTTTATTCATTTACTTTATATTTTATTTAAGTTATTATTATTATTATTATTATTATTATTATTACGTGAGAAAGGGGGAAAGACGCGCCAACATTTTTGAAGGGAAAAAAAAATTCGTTGATGGTGGCAGACATCACAAGCTCTCAGACGGTGAAGACAGGTGAGATGTAAAGGAGAAGTAGTAAAAAATAATATATGGAAAAAACTTAGGCCCTGAGGAATTAGTGAAGGTTAATGGCTGCTGCTGGTGTTGCCTTTATCTAACATTGTTTATTTAGAATTATATAAGAGATTTTATTTTGTTTGATACTTCGTTCTATTTTATTATTATTTCATTTAGGTTGACATGAGTGGAGAGAAAAAAAATGAATGAAAATATAACACAAAGGGAAGCGTGCTGCAGCCTCTAGCGGGAACTTTTGAAGTGGTCCTCTTGCGGTGTATAAATATCACTGTGGAACTCAAGACCTCTTGTGTTCCTCAGCCTGAAAAGAACAGTTTAGTGTAGGCTGAAAAGCTGGGCGGGCCACAAAGCCTAGCTGGTGTTTGGACTGCCGGAATATGAAATGCTCGGCGGGGAAATCTTGATGAAAATGTCTTTACTAGGCTAATCCACCGGGACCTGCCCATAATGGTGGCTGGGAGCGAAGCCTGAGTTGAAAATGTAATCTTTTTCTTTAATTCTCGGATGTTGTGTTTATCTCATGGGTCTTAACCTACTTTGGGTTTATGGTTTTTTAATAGACAAACTGTAGCAGGTTGTGGGCGTGAGCAAACAAGGGCGGGCAGGGGGCGTTAAGTGTTCGTCAGTGCTGAAGGAGGTATTGTCGCCCTGGGAACCATTTAACGTGTTCCTGACCAAACACTTTGACAGTTCGCCCTAAACCAAGACTTTTCTCAACTCTTATGTTTTTTAGACTCGCTGAGGCGTGATAATTTATGAAGGTGTAATGTAAAAAAATCCTCCATTGCTTTTTTAAAACCTATTTTTATTTTTGTATTACTTTTGTTAACTTTTTTATTACTTTTGTAACTTTTTTACTACTTTTGTTAACTTTTTTATTACTTTTGTTAACTTTATTTTGTTAACTTATTTATTACTTTTGTTAACACTTATGTTATGGCGTGTGACGGTTAGTGTTTTATTGACAAGTAAGGAAGAAGGAAGAGGGTGAGGAGGAGGAGGAGGGATGATTCAAGAAAGGAGAGAGAGGGAGAAAGTAGGAGGGAAGAAAATAGGAAATAAAAGGAAAACGGGAACAGGTAGAATAGGGAAGAAGTAGGAGAGGAGAAGGAAGAGAAGTAAGAAAGGGAGGCAAGAAGAAATGAAGTTATATGACACCGTCTTTAGGAGCTGTGTTAGGTTAGGTTGGGTTGGATTAGGTTAGAGTAAGTTAGGATGGGCTGGGTTAGGATTGGATGGGTTACGTTAGAATAAATTGGGTTAGGTTAGTTTAGGTTATATTAGGCTGGGTTATATTGGGTTAGGTTATATTTGGCTGGGTTATATTGGGTTAGGTTACATTATGGTAGGTTGGGTTAGAATTTATTTGCTTCTTATTTCATCACTAGCCGTTCGGGCGATTGGTCAGTTATTTGTTACTTTGTTATGACCTGTTATGACTTTTATAAAATTGAATGTGGCTTACCTCCCTCCCTCCCTCCCACATCCTCCTCCTCCCTCCTCCTCCCTCCCTCCTCCTGTTCCTTTTCTCCCTCTCTTCCTCCCCCCCCATCTCCCCCCTACCTCCCTCATCCTGGTGAAACATAATAATCTCTAGGGAGTCTGTTTTATATTATTTGCCTAAAGAGGTCTTAAATTCTTTACTATGGGCCTAGTGGGAGGTAAGTGACTCTGGTTACGTGGGCAAACAATTACCTAATATTACTCAGGAAGGGTGAATCATGGGGGGTGAGAAAAATAGAGTGGGGAGGGAGAAAGTGAGAAAAGATAGAGAATTGAGGGGGAGAGGGGGAAGAAGAGGGAAAAATAGGGGTGTTAAAGGGAGGAGGAGAGGAAAGGAAGAGGAGATGGTGAGGCGAGTTTGTAAAGGGGGTAAAGGATTGAGCAGCCAACCAGATATACTGCTCTAACCTAACCTAAACTAAACCTAACCTAACCTAAACCTAACCTAACCTAAACCTAGCCTAACCTAAACCTAACCTAAACCTAAACCCAAACCCAACCTAACCTAAACCTAACCTAACTTAACGTACAATAACCAGCCCAATACTTCCCTTCACCCTATTAGCTTAGCCAGTCGTTCAGGTCAGGTCAGGTCCTCTTTCCTTCACTTCTTTCATTTCATTTATTATCCATTACCCTTCTTCCTCGTTTACTGATCAACTTTCATTCCCCCTTTCTCTACGAGTAAAAGAGGGTTGAGAGGGGAAAGAGAGGTGGGTTAAAGACGTGGGTTGAGAGGGGAGAGAGAGGTGGGTTGAGAGGGGAGAGAGAGGTGGGTTAAAGACGTGGGTTGAGAGGGGAGAGAGAGGTGGGTTAAAGACGTGGGTTGAGAGGGGAGAGAGAGGTGGGTTGAGAGGGAGAGAGAGGGTGGGTTAAAGATGGGGTTGAGAGGGGAGAGGGAGGGTTAAGGAGGGGAGAGAGGAGGTGGGGTTGAGAGGGGAGAGAGAGGTGGGGTTGAGAGGGGAGAGAGAGGTGGGGTTGAGAGGGGAGAGAGAGGTGGGTTAAAGACGTGGGTTGAGAGGGGAGAGAGAGGTGGGTTAAAGACGTGGGTTGAGAGGGGAAAGAGTGGTGGGTTAAAGAGGTGGTGGGTTGAGAGGGGAGAGAGAGGTTGGTTGAGAGGGGAGAGAGAGGTGGGTTAAGAGGGGAGAGAGAGGTGGGTTGAGAGGGGAGAGAGAGGTGGGTTGAGAGGGGAGAGAGAGGGGGTTGAGAGGGAGAGAGAGGTGGGGTTGGAGAGGGAGAGAGAGGTGGGGTTGAGAGGGAGAGAGAGGGGTTAAAGACGTGCTGAGAGGGAGAGAGAGGTGCTAAGAGGGGAGAGAGAGAGGTGGGCTGAGAGGGCAGAGAGGTGGGGTTAAGAGGGAGAGAGAGGTGGGGTTGAGAGGGGAGAGAGAGGGAGTTGAGAGGAGAGAGAGGTGGTTAAGAGGGGAGAGAGAGGTGGGTTAAAGACGTGGGGTTGAGAGGGGAGAGATAGTGGGTTAAGAGGGAGAGAGAGGTGGGGTTAAAGACGTGGGTTGGAGAGGGGAGAGAGAAGGGAGAGGAATTACATTCAATTAGGTATTTTTTCTAAGATTTCTCAACACTCCAGCACCCCCTCCTCTCTCTCCCTCTCACCTCTTCCCCCCTCTATCGGTAAGCCAGTAGGTCAACTTTAACCTCTAGTTGACCTCCCGTAGGCCACCAGAGCTGACCTCAAAAACCTCTATCCTCGGAAACTGAAGTAATCGGATTCCGTCATTTTTTTCCTCTTGGCGTTAAGTCGACCTGGAGTGACCTTACTCTCCTCCACCCTCGTGCCTTTATGACCCCTCATTCTTGACCTTATGACCGCTCCTGCCACTGTGGATGACCCCTTGTCCCGTATCTCGCACCAAACGGCCACCTCGACCCCTCCCGAGTCGGTGCTTCGGTCCTCAGAATAAGTATGAAGTGAACCTGTATCAGAGTGGTCGATAACCTGGTGATTCTTGTTTATAAATAGGGGACTAGCGCTTGATGACGTCCAGACTCTGTGTTTACAACGTTGGTTTTCAGTGTTGCTTTAATGTTATTGTTTTGATTAAACTTACCCTACTACTACTACTACTACTACTACTACTACCGGACGGGTTTAGTAGTTTACCTGCGTTTACCTGTTGGAATTAGACTCATTACCTGTGTCTAACTTGTTACTTTTTTATTCTCCCCAGGGCCAGCCAGCTCGCCGTCCCGCCCACCTCCTCGTCACCAGCCCGGCAGGAGGAGAGAGAACGACGGCGACGCAGAAGAAGGAACTCCGGGGACCGTGAGAGGGAGTCCTCGGGCCGCAGGGATGGGCGTTCTAAGGGCGGAAATGGACGGGAGGATAGGCGTGGCCTACCCACCGACTACCGGGGCGCGCTGTCCAAGTTCTCCCCGCCTGTGCCTCACGCCCTCCTCAAGAAGATCGGCACCAAGGATGTACAGGGGCTGGGCAAGGTATGTCTCGAGTCTTTGTTGGCCTCACTCACTGCTTCACCTCGTCGTCGCGGGAGAAAACGCAATAGAATTTTAAACGCGTCCTTTATCATAACGTCAAGACATAAAGATAGACGAACCAAACTTAACGTCTGGATATACATTAAAACCTTTAAAACAACATTATCATTTTTTAGTTGTTGCTGAATTTGTATCGTTAAAATTAAAGAGACTTGTTTGGAACTATGATCGATGGCACGTCAATGTACAGTAGGTTAGATTTACCTGTACATTACATGAAGGTGCGTGTAGGTATGTGACTTATAGTGAAGTAATCTCTTAAAGTAAACACAACTATATACCGTAAATTGGGTAAACCACTCGCTGGAAAAAGTTCTAAAAAAAAATCCCAAGTTTTTTCCACCCTCTACAGTAAGTTGATAGAGTGATCACGGTGACGTGGGCGGGTGGGTGGCCGCGCGTGAGCTGAGGAGGGGTCAGGGGATTGTCAGGGTGTGCTTATCGACTCTATTGCAGTTTAAGATTAAATTCACGGACGCCAAACCACAGCTCTCTCTCTCTCTCTCTCTCTCTCTCTCTCTCTCTCTCTCCACAATTACCAGCCTTGGAGATTTAAGTCCGTCAGTTAATCCACTAATCTCCGGCCCACGTTCCTGCCCGTGTGTGGGGGGTGTTGTGACAGGTTTTAGAGATTAAGGATTAGTTAGTTTAGCCAATTAATGGATTAGTTTAGTGAATTAAAGCCATTAATGATATAATCTGTAAAGGGGGAAATCTCTTTTGAAATTTTTCTTAAGGTTCGCCAGCACGAGCGAATAGTAGCGTTTGGCGTGTCCCTTTGTCCTTCATCTCTCTCTCTCAATTTATCTATGACGTCACCAAGTATTTCCTCCCTCCCTCCATCCTTATTTACTTCTATATCTTTCTTCCTTCTTTCTTTCCTTCTTTCTTTCCTTCTTTCTTTCCTTCTTTCTTTCTCGGTGGCATTTTGTTTACGAGGAAATTGTTTGTTGAAATTTTGTCCAATAGTAATTTTTTTGAGGATTTTGTCCATGTTGAATAATTCTGTCCAATAGGAATCAATCTGGTCGAATTTTTGTGTAGAAATTTGTCCGGTTGAATTTTGTCCACTGGGGGAATTGTCCGGTTGAATTTTGTCCACTGAGGGAATTGTCCGGTTGAATTTTGTCCACTGGGGGAATTGTCCGGTTGAATTTTGTCCACTGGGGGAATAGTCCGGTTAAATTTTGTCCACTGGGGGAATTGTCCGGTTGAATTTTGTCCAGAGGGAATAAATTGTCCAATGTTGTTTTTTTTACCTCGCGCTGTATGCTGACAACATCACCATGACAACGGGATCCTCTGGTGCCATATTGTTGATAAGTGATGGGTCGACCAGCTCCAGGCTCTAGCCATTTGTCTCCCGAGATAGGTGTTTGCCTCTCCCCTTCCCTCCCTCCCACCTCTCCCCTTCCCCTCCTCCCTGCCCTCCTCTCTCCTTCCCTCCCTCCCTCCCTCCTGCCTCCTTTTTACTACTGCTTCCTCCTCCCCTTTACTTTATTTCCTCCCCTCATCTCTCCTCTCCTTTCTCCCCCTCCTTTCCCTCCTCTCCCATTCTCCCCACTCCTCTCCCATTCTCTTCTACTCCCCTCCCTCTTCTTAAAAACACATATTTATCTACCTTTATTCCTGTGCTTTTCTGTACCTGTAATTATCTCTCTACCTGTGTATACCTGTACTTCTCGCTGTACCTGTAACCCATACTTGTAGCTTATGCCTCTACCTGTATTTCTACTTCTGTATTATTTACCTGTGTTTCCTAAATAACTTGTACCTAAACATGTATTTGTATTCGACCCTAAATGACGTGGCTGCTGCTGCTGTATCGGTCCTAAAGTCCATGTAACCTGCTGTATTTTGATGGGAGTACAGTACAGTATGTTCATTTGAATGCGTTGAGAGCTTAATGGTGGTTGTGGGTGGTGTGAGGTGGTTGTGGGGTGGTTGTGGGTGGTGTAGGGTAGTTGTGGAGTGGTTGTGGGTGGTTGTGGGGTAGTTGTGGGTGGTGTAGGGTAGTTGTGGGTGGTGTGGGGTGGTTGTGAGGTGCTTGTGGGTGGTTGTGACGCCCCTGTGCTACTGGTATCAACTTACAGCATTTATCACCTTTTTGCTGTCAGTCGTGGGTCCTAGTGAAGGCCCTTTTTGTGGTGTGGTACCTCCACCCCCCACCCCCCCCTACCCCCCCGGCCCCCTGACTCCCCCCACTCCCTTCCTTCATCTAGGGCCACGACCTGTCACACCCCTCACTCCCTCACCTTACACCCGGAATTCATTCCACTCCAATCCGACCACACCACTTAAGCCCCCTCTGACACACCCTGACCACATTACCTCCCCCTCCCCTCTACTACACTTCGACCACACCACTGCCACACCCCGACCACACTACTGGCCCCCTATGCCACACCCCCGACCACATTACTGTCCCTTCTCTGGCACATTACGACCGCATCACCACAGCCACACCCTCGGCCACCCGATGTCACACCACCGACTTATAAAAGGTCCCATCAGGGTCACACCATGACCATAACGTTAACACCACACTCTGGCCTCATTACAGTCATAACAAGCCACACCCCCAACCAGCCAAGCAGTACAGTACCACCACTACTCTACCACAGACCACACCCTGACCACAGTACCTCCTCTGAACCATACCTCGACCACACTGTACCTCCTCTGAACCACACCTCGACCACTGTACCTCCTCTGAACCACACCTCGACCACACTGTACCTCCTCTGAACCACACCTCGACCACACTGTACCTCCTCTGAACCACACCTCGACCACACTGTACCTCCTCTGAGCCACACCACAACACCCAACACACACACACACATCTTGGCTCATAACATTAAGTAGACAAATTAAAGAGAGAGAGAGAGAGAGAGAGAGAGAGAGAGAGAGAGAGAGAGAGAGAGAGAGAGAGAGAGAGAGAGAGAGAGACTGTAGTGTTTAATGAGACTTACTTATGAAAGATGTGTAGAAGTTAACTCACTCTTCACTACATAACATGGAAATATAACATTGTATTTAACATTAATATTAACTTTAACAAAAATAGATCATTAAACTAAACAAAAATTAGTGGTGATAAGAATACATTGTTTAGTGAAGCATTGTTGTGGGAATATTATCGTAATATTTTATGTACAGTTATCACCATTTATAACTTGTACAGTGGGTGGTGTATTGTGTGAAATATGGCAACACTGTATATATTACCAAGTAGAACGTACGTGATTGGCTCATGTCTGGTGGGCGGTGGTGTCACATCTCACTAAACACGCCATCTACTGTACCAGTTATAAATGGAGGCAACTGTACATGTTAGGTCTTTTGGTCTACTCCGGGTCATGGGACTGGTATTGAACTTGTTGTTTATTAAGTCATATATTGTTTATATTGTCTTATATGTGTGTATAGTCGTATGTGTGTGTGTGTAGTCGTATGTGTGTGTGTAGTCGTATGTGTGTGTGTAGTCGTATGTGTGTGTATAGTCGTATGTGTGTGTGTGTGTAGTCGTATGTGTGTGTATAGTCGTATATGTGTGTGTGTAGTCGTATGTGTGTGTATAGTCGTATGTGTGTGTATAGTCGTATATGTGTGTGTATAGTCGTATATGTGTACAGTATATAGATGGTAAGGCATAAATTTGGGGAGTTTTTACAAGTGTGTGTTAGTTATTGTCGCCATCACTGTATACCTAAGGCTTGAGACTACGGACGACCCCTTCCTGCCACCACTACCACACCTTCCTGCCACCACTACCACCACATTCCTGCCACCACTACCACCACATTCCTGCCACCACTACCACCACCACTTTCACCACCACTTTCTACTACCACCACCACCACTCTACCACCAGCACACTATCACTCACCACTATACACAGTAACTAGCGGCGTCGCACCTGGTCGCCGTGAAGCAATTAAGAGTCCACGACACAGGTGGGCTGACTCCTTAATGAAGTCATGACTAGCCACGAGTGTCGCTACGCCCAGTGTTATTAAGGTACTCTGTCTGTGTGTTTGTATGGCGTTAGATTTGTTAGTCTGTCTCTCTGTGGTTGACTGGCGAAGGTATACGTCCGGCGTTGGTGTTATAGTGCCAGGTGTGTGTGTGTGTGTGTGTGTGTGTGTGTGTGTGTGTGTGTGTGTGTGTGTGTGTGTGTGTGTTATTTCCTTCCATAAGTACACCTGAAAAAAAAAGAGATAATCAAATTCTCTCAAAAATTCTCCGTAAAATAAACCAAACTTGAAATCAATCCCCCCGAAAGCTTGAAAATCTTGTAGGTGATCTTAAGCTGTCACCTTAGTTAATATTCCCGGCAGGTGGTAATAATAACGGGAGTGTGTTTTCAATATTCAGCGTGGAATGAGAGTGTCTGTCCACCTGGGTAATGGGTATGGCCCCCACCTTGCTTCAGTGCCCCGTTAATATCAGAGGGCGGGCAGTAATCAGGTCGTTAGAAAGGGCAGACGAGGTGCTAAGGTAGGGGGTTGTTGATGGCTGGTGGTGGGAGGATGGCGCCTCTCATCCAGGTCTAGTTCTATTACATCCTGACTCCCACTCATAGATCCGACTCCTCCCTCCTGCTCCTCTCTACTCCATAACCACCTCCCACTCCACATAACCCTCATCCACTGCCCCCCACTCCACATAACCCTCATCCACTGCCTCCCACTCCACATAACTCTCATCCACTGCCTCCCACTCCACATAACCCTCATCCACTGCCTCCCACTCCACATAACCCTCATTCACTGCCTCCCACTCCACATAACCCTCATCCACTGCCTCCCACTCCACATACAACCACCTACTCCACATAACTCCACCCCCCTCCCTTTCGTCTTAAGCTCCCCCCTTTCACTCCCATTAAAATTACGAAAGGGGGAAACAAAGGGGGAGATGGAAGGTAGTTTACA